TCTGGGTGACATAGCAGGACCCCTCTCAATAAATAAATAATGTAAATGAATGAATAAATAAATAAATAAATAAGTAGGAGAGAGAAGGGAGAAGCTAGAATCCATGAGCATAAGCTGGAACCCTTGAGGACAAAGTGGGACTGATGTCAGTTCTCACTGCCTCCCAACTTGATGACATAGGTGAGCTCCAGAAGCTTCTGGCACCCTTTGTCATCTGGCCCAGGAGTCAGAGACATGAAGGAAGGTCTAGGAAAAGGTGGGGCAGTTGTAGGCCTTGCTGCTACCCCCATATCAATGAGGTGAGCCAACATGTTAGCAACAATGTATATGGGCTACAAAGCTTTTGCCCTTAGCTTGCAAATGTAGCATTCAATATTGTGGCTGCCTTTCTTCCACTCTTCAAATCTCACAAAAAAATATCTCTTTATTGTGGCTCACCCTAATTGGAAACATACATGAAGAGGAATTTGGGAAATGTAGTTCATTCTAGCTAAAATGACACATAATAAAGCCATTATAGCTATGCCCCAGCAGTTCCATTCTTAGATGTATGCTCAGGAGAAACAAACACATACATATGTTCATCAAAAGACGTGTACTGGCCATGTGCAGGGCTCTTGCCTGTAATCCCAGCACTTTGGGAGGCCAAGGTGGGTGGATCACCTGAGGTCAGGAGTTCAAGACCAGCCTGGCCAACATGGTGAAACCCTATCTCTATTAAAAATAGAAAAAATTAGCCGGGCATGATGGTGGGCACCTGTAGTCCCAGCTACTTGGGAGGCTGAGGCAGGAGAATTACTTGAACTCAGTAAAAAAAAAAAAAAAAAAAAAGATGTGAACTAGAGTATATATTAATTTTGTGTGAGCTTCATTATTGGCTGTGAGAATCATCCATGTTTCATTTATTGAGTAGGCTATTCTTTGCCATTGATATATAATATGTCATTGTTTGACTGTAGTACAATTTATTTATTCATTCTCTCTCTCTCTCTTTTTTTTGAGTTACAGTCTTGCTCGGCTGCCCAGGCTGGAGTGCAGTGGCAAGATCTTGGCTCACTGCAACCTCTACCTCCCGAGTTCAAGCGATTCTCCTGCTTCAGTCTCCTGAGTAGCTGGGATTACAGGTACGCGCTGCCACACCCAGCAAATTTTTGTATTTTTAGTAGAGATGGGGTTTCACTATATTGGCCAGGCTGGTCTTGAACTCCTGACCTAAGGTGATCCACCAGCCTAGGCCTCCTAAAGTGCTGGGATTACAAGCGTGAGCCACCATGCCCAGTCTTATTTATTCATTCCATTCTATTGTTGATAGATTTATGGACTGTTTCCTTTTTTCTTTTTTTTTTGAGACTGAGTTTCACTCTTGTTGCCCAGGCTGGAGTGCAATGGTGTGATTTTGGCTCACTGCAACCTCTGACTCCTGGGTTCAAGCAATTCTCCTGCCTCAGCCTCCCAAGTAAATGGGATTACAGGCACACACCACCATGCCTAGCAATTTTTTTGTATTTTTAGTAGAAATGGGGTTTCACCAGATTGGCCAAGATGGTTTTAAACTCCTGACCTCAGGTGATCCACCTGCCTTGGCTTCCCAAAGTGCTGGCATTACAGGCGTGATCCGTGCCTTATGGGCTGTTTCTGCTTTGGGGCTATTACAAATGGTGCTGCCATGAATATCTGTATACATGTCTTTGGGTGTATAATTAAAAGTGGTATTGGCTGGGCATCGTGGCTCATGCCTATAGTTCCAGCACTTTGGAAGGCTGAGGCAGTTGGATTGCTTGAGCACAGGAGTTCGAGATCAGGCTGGACAGCATGTCAAAAAAAAAAAAACTCAAAAAAAAAAATACAAAAATTAGCTGGGTGTGGTGCTGTGCGCCTGTAGTCCTAGCTCCTGGGGAGGCTGAGGTGGGAGGATTGCTTGAGTCCAGAATGCAGAGGTTGTAGTGAGCTGGGATGGCACCACTGCACTCCAACCTGGGTGACAGAGTGAGACTCTCTCAAAAAAAAAAAAAAAAAAAAGTGGAATTACACATTTCATTTATCATGTTTATTAGGTACTGCCAAACAGTTTTCCAATGAAGTTACAGTTGTTTAATTTTTAATTAAAAAGAATAGCTGGCTAGGTACAGTGGCTTGTGTCTCTGGTCTGGTCCCAGCACATTAGGAGGCCGAGGTGGGGTGATCGCTTGAGACCAAGAGTTTGAGACCAGCCTGGGCAACATAATGAGACCCTGTCTCTAAAAAATAAAAATAAAAAAACGAACAGAGTACAGAATACCATGTGTTTGGAGCTGTAGCAAGTGTTGTGTTTTTTTTTTTTTTTTTTTAAATCTCACCAGGTTCTCATAGTGAGCGGATGTTTCCTCTGTGCTCCATCTGTTCTCCTAATCTGGAGTTGCTCCTAATTCCTTCTCATCCTGCCCCATCTCCAGGGAGTCTGGTAGGGGCCTGCTTCCCTTGCAGAGCTATCTAGCTTTGGTAAGGCCCTCTGCACAGGAAGCCCCAGAGCCTGGGCCCCACTTGTGTGATGACACAGACACATTTGGGCAGTGATGGGGCAGCCATGTAACTTCTGCCCTGACTGTCTCCTGACATGAAGAGTCTCATTTTCTCTTGGAGGCTTTCTAGAACCATCTTTGGCCTTCCCTGAGAGCATGTAGTATCCCCAGGCATGGGCAGCTCTGCATTTCAGCTCCACCCAGTGGGCCAGAATGCCCAGTGCCTGGGACTGTGAGGAACATTTGGCAAGGACAGGAGACCACAGCTTTTTGTGTGTGGTGTCCCTCCTACACCAAACCGTGAGTGTCTTCCACTCCACAGAGCCTCCCACAATAACTTACTCATCAGATACATTCAGTAAATGTTTGCTGAAAGGAGTTGACAATTCGGAAATAACCCCGGGCCGTGCAGTTAGCAGCTAGTTTGTGTTTAAGTGAGCCCACACCAGAGATGGTTTTGAGAAGTAGGCTAGAAAGACTTGAAGAAGGCAGGCCTGGGCCAGGCCCAGTGACTCTTGACTGTAATCCCAGCACTTTGGGAAGCTGAGGAGGGCGGATCACTTGAGGCCAGAAGTTTGGGACCAGGATTTGGAACCTGGGAGGATCACTTGAGGCCAGGAGTTGGGACCTGGCCAATATGGTGAAACCCCGTCTCTACTGAAAATACAAAAATTAGCCCTGGATGTGGTAGCATGCGCCTGTAATCCCAGCTACTCAGGAGGCTGAGGCAGGAGAATCTGTTGAACCCGGGAGGCAGAGTCTGTAGTGAGCAGAAATGGCGCCACTGCGATCTGTCTCAAAAATAAATAAATTAATTAATTAAAAAAAAAAAAAAGGCAAACCTTATTCTGGTTGAAGAGGGTGTGAATTTTGGCTATGAGAAGAGAGTAGAAAGGGCCTTCCAGGTTGGAAGGTGGGATAAGGACAGGGAGGGGATCACAAATGTCTGCATAGACCCAGAAGGTAATAAACCGTGAGAAATAGGGATTGGTGGGGACTATGGTAAATTGGTATGCTCTTAAAGACACTTGTGCCCGGCGCGGTGGCTCACACCTGCAATCCCAGCACTTTGGGAGGCCAAGGTGGGTGGATCATCTGAGTTCGGGAGTTCGAGACCAGCCTGACCAACATGGAGAAATCCCGTCTGTATTAAAAATACAAAAAATTAGCCGGGTGTGGTGGAGCATGCCTGTAATCTCAGCTACTCGGGAGGCTGAGGCAGGAGAATCGCTTGAACCTGGGAGGTGAAGGTTGTGGTGAGCCGAGATCATACCATTGCATTCCAGCCTGGGCAACAAGAGCAAAACTCCATCTCAAAAAAAAAAGGGGCGGGGGGCGGGAGCTTGTAATGCCAGGCTGGAATCTGAGCGTATGTTGTTAGATCTTCTGATATTTCTTTCTTTTTTTGAGACGGAGTTTCGCTCTTGTTGCCCAGGCTGGAGTGTGCAATGGTGCGATCTTGGCTCACTGCAACCTCCCCTTTCCAGGTTCAAGCAATTCCCCTGCCTCAGCCTCCCAAATAGGTGGGATTACAGGCATACGATACTACGCCCAGCTAATTTTGTATTTTTCCAGAATTTGTAGAGACGGGTCTCTCCATGTTGGTCAGGCTGGTCTCGAACTCCCGACCTCAGGTGATCCACCCACCTCAGCCTCCCAAAGTGCTGGGATTACAAGCATAAGTCACTGTGCCCGGCAGATCTGATATTTCAAAAGAAGCCAGGAAACCAGATTCCTGATTCCAGAAAGACGAGGGGGGGGGACTTCTTTTAAAAAGCCCCATGCGGGCTAAATAAAATACATCTACAGGCCACTTGGGTCCCACCGTCTGCCAGCTTTAGACCTTCAAGACAAGGTCTAAAGGTAGTGGGGTGGGAGTGGGTAGAGTGGGCAGGAGTGGGTGGGCTGAGATCAGAATATGAAAAGCTCTCAATATGAGTGCTGTCTCTCAAACGCGAGAGCACACGAATCACTCAATATGCTGCTAAAGTTTGTGAAGCGCTATTGGAGACAGTCCCAGAGGGCTTTGGAGAGGGAGGGGGACTCGATGAAAACAATAGCTCGGAAAGATTAATTTGCCAACAATGTACAGACTGGAGATCAGCATACAGGTAAGGGGCCACAGGTTGGCACTGCTGAAGGGAAGCTGGTCTTCAGCAGCCAAGGCCGTCTCTCCTCTAGTTACATTGGAAGGAAAGAGCTGCGTACTCCGGACTGCGTACTGCGGGTACTTTGGGGAATCTGTCCCCGCCCGCGAAGCAAAAGTGAGGTGTTCGGGAACCGGCGGGCTGAGAGCACCGGCAAGAACCCCCGCAGACCGCAGGGCCACGCCTCTTGCTCCCCCGCTCAACGCAGGGGCCCACATCCCACCACGCAGAGCAGAGCGAGGCGCATCTCGCTGCCATGGTGACCGCCTCCATGGAGACCGGGAGCAGAGGCTGCCATCCCCGGGGGGGCGGCACAGGCTCTCCCAGCCCCCAGCCCGCGTGCCTTCTTTGTTCTGATGGTTATCCAGGCCGGGCCGGTCTCGGGGGAAGCGTCTCGGGCCTGCACGGGGGCGCTTCCTCGGAGACAGGGGATGGGATGGAAGGGGAAGAGGTCCAAACCCTTGGGTCGAGATAGGAGGATGGAGGGTTCCTCAGTTCCTGCAAGGGACTAGCACGGCCCATATCGATGGCCGAAGCCGGCGTGGAAGCCCCGGAAGAAAGGCCACCTTCAGGACCTCCACCCAGCCCCGAGACGCGCCCGACAGTCCTCCCGAGAGCGCAGGGCCCAGGGGAGGTGCGTCCCAAGCGAGGGTGGAGGCTGGAGGCGCGATTCCCCAGGCGGAAGGCGGGGCGGGGCGGGGCGGGGCCTATCCGTGGCCCGCCTTCCCTCTGTCTCCCTGTGCCGGGTTCTGGTCCCTGGCCCTCTGGGGCCGTCTGCCCGCCTTCCTCGCGAGAACTCGCCCAGCCCTGGGTAGGCGCTGACTCGCCGGGCTCAGCCTCCGCGCCCTCGACACGTGACGTAGGCGGCCCTCGCTAGTTGGCAGTTCTTTGGAGCCCGCTCATTGGCCCGAAGCGTCCCTCGCCCCACCCCCGGATTAACCAATGGGCGGAGGCGGAGGTGAGGGCGTGCCGACTGGCGGTCGGCGGCAGCGCCGGGCTCCCTTCCTCGTGCTCGGCTTTGAGCCCCTGCCGACGCCGCCGCAGCGGTCGTCCCTGCCCTCCCCGGCCCCGGGGCACACTCCGCCAGGTGAGACCACCCCTCTGCTCCCTGTCTGCCGGTTCCTCCCCGCTCGCCGAGGTCCCTTCCCGGTCCTGGCCCTGTCCTCAGCAGTCAGTGCCTGGGACCCCAGCGGCAGTTGTGAAAGGGCTGGGGTGGGGGCTCCGCTGTCCGGGCCGAGCCTGGGACTCCTCAGCACCTGAGCTAGAGTGATGTCAGGTTCCCGGGGCGCAGTGACCCTTAGCTGCTGAGCTGGGGTGTTTTCCGCGAAGCGATTGTCTGGGGGCACCAGTGCCGTAGTGAGGGCGGGGGCGTAATGGGGTCAGCGCCCCCTCCTCCCCACGACCCTGATCATTGCAGCTGCCTCGCTGCATGACCTTGGACGAGTAGTATCTCTGAGCCTCCGAGCCTCGGCACCCTCAGGAAGGAGGGCAGTGATGTTTGGGAGTACGGGCTCTGGAGACTCCTGCGTCAGCCGAGGTGACTGAGGGTGGGGAGCATACAGGATTATCTCCGAAGGACAGAGCCGCCTCCTCGCAGCCCAGGATGGATTGGCTGGGGGATGTCCTATTGCATTTACCTCCTTCCCCTGAGATGACAAGAATGGGGTGGGGCGGGGGTGCCACACCCACGGGGATGGCTGCCGGATAGGATAAAGGGTCCTACACCTGGGCCACTGGGGCCTCGGGACCTTGCCCTGCACCGCCCTCCCGGTAGCACGAAGGAGGAGGGACTGGATGTAGGTTCTGGACCGGTGTTCCCATCAGTAAGCAGGGACTGAGAAAGGGAAGTCTCCGCTTGTCTTTCTTCTTGAATCTTGGCATTGGAAAATGGGGGTAGGGTATTTTTCTGCCCCAGGGAGCTGAAGAAAATCGGAACAGCACCCCTATCCCTCTCCCATTCTGGTCTTCTGTGGAGAGTAAATGTAGATGGATGTCCCCCCATCCTATCCATCCTGAGCTAAGAGACAGCAGCCCTGTCCCTGGGAGATAATCCTGTGTGCTCCCATCCTCCCCTGGGCTGACCCCCTGGATCCAGCCTGGCCTCTGCTTCTTGGGACCTTTGGATCACAGGCCCAGGGCAGGGCCTAGGTGGGGAATGAGATCTGGAGGCTAAGCACCTACTAGATAAGGGCATGGTGGGGAGAATGCTGGGCATCGGGTGGGGCATGAGATCTGGAAGCTAAGCACCCACTAGCTGAGGGCATGAGGGAGAATGCTGAGGGCAGCACTTGTTGGGGAGGCAGGAAGGTGTGAGTGGTGGGGGTCCCTTCTCCATATTCCTCCACCCCCACCGCCAGCACCTCACTGTTAGTGGGAGAGAGAACACCCATATTTATCCTTGCACCTTTGGCTTGGTGGAGGGAGAAGGAAATGAAGTCACTTGAAGGCTGAGTTGATGTGAAGCTGCCACAACCTCTGACCTCCAGCCTTACCTTTCCAGGCTTTGTTCTGAGTATGTGTGGCCCCTGCTGTGTCCAGTCCTGAGAATCATCAGGTTAGTGTGGCCCCATCTCAAGCCCTCAATGGGTGTTCTTTTCACAGGCGTGAGCTTTAATAGGAAGCTACACAGTGCTTCTGCTGGTCTGAGTGCTTGAGCCAGGACTGAGCCCCAGACTGGTGCAGGAGAGGAAGAGGTAGGGAGAGTGAAATGTGAAGTTCCTGGCTCAGAGACAAAGACCTCAAACCACATTGAGAATGAGGATTGAAGAAGGAATGAGAAATGAGGCCTTAGAGGTTGGGAGCATGCTCCCAGCCTCAGGGCATAGGACAAGCTGGGGCTGGCCATGTGACACCTTGGGGTATGGGGACACCTCTGGGGAGAGGGATCTTTGGGTTGGGGGGCAAGAGGGTGGCAGGTTTGGGAGCTTCACTTTGCCATGGACACACTATCTTTGGCCCCCCGTCCAGCCTGGAGCCTTGGGTCTCAGCATGGGGCAGCCTGGAGCAGTAGGAGTGCCCTGTGGGGCAGGGGCTGAGGGCTCCTATATAATCATCCATCTGTCTGTTCACTTGCCGTGTCTCTGGGTAGGGTGGCCTCGAAGCAGACTCTCTCTCTAAAACTAACAAGGGGCCTGAGCTGGCAGCTCTCTGTCCCTAGAGGGAATATTCCCCCAGTTTCCCTAGTAACTGTGAGCCAAAGAAGCCCCCAAGGCTCTCTCTCGTCCCAGCTTTCCAGCCCTTCGCATCTTGTGACAGTCCAGGTTCCCACCCCTGACTTGATGACAGCCCACCTCAGCGGGGAGGGTATAATTTTTGAGGATATAATTTTTTGTTGTTGTTGCTGAGGCTAGGGGCACCATGTTCCTCCCTGGTCATTTCCCAGTTTCCCAGGATGTACATTCTGAACATCTTTCTTGTGAGCCCCTCTGATTAGGGGTACTGGGCACTCCCAGCATCTGTTCTCTGACCCTCCCTAGGGACCTGGCTGCTGTGGGAGTGGGAGAAGGGGGAGGCCGGAGGAGGGAGGCCCCCTCAACCCTTGAGCTGTTTACCAAGAAGGCTGACGTCCCTGGGGCCCACTCTAGGGTCATTCCTGCCTCCTCCAGGATTGGCCTGACGTGCCTCTCTGACAGTGCTGCTGAAATTGCTTTTGCTTTAGAAAGCAGGCCTTTGGGGGTTTGCTCTTTGCAGAGGTGGGGGGTGCATTGTCACAGAGCTTCAGACACAGTTGCACAAAACCCTGGGAGGAAGAGGCCACTGCTTATTCCTGTGTTACGCATTAGGAAACAGGGACAGAGAAGTGAAAGAACTCACCCGTGCAGCCAGCAAGGGCAGATTCTGAATTTGAACCAGGACTGCTGCCTCTAGGGGCCATGTCGTTTGAGCCACGGTGAGGCCTTCATTGGCACAGGTGGAGGCTGGAGGCAGGGCCGGGCCTGGGGTTGCATGGTGGCCTAGCTTTTCTCTGTGGGCACACTACAGCAGGGGAGGCCCAGTGCCCTCTGCCTGCTTCTGATGAGGAATTATATGTGGACAAGAGTCTAGCTACCAGGGGACAGTGACCAGCAGCTCTCGGTTGAGAAAGGAGGTTTGGTTTTCCGTTTCCTTTGGGCTCCTGAGGTCACTTGCTTCCGGGTTACAGGCCTTGAGTGTTTGCCCTTTACTGAGTACTGGGCACTGCATGAGACGTGGGTCCTGCCCTCAGTGGGCATGGACAGGTAACCCTGACTGCAGCAAGGCCCAAGGAATGCCAGTGGGCGGCCACACAGTGGGGACAGGGGAGAGGGATGTGCCCCCCAGGGCAGGGGTAGGCTAAGAGAGTGGGGTAGGGAGTTCTGCTTCCTGAGAGCCCCCAGGGCAGAGTCGCTGGCTCTGACCATATCACTTAGTGCCCAAGTACGGGCCTTGGCCAGGCCCTCCAAGCAAATGAGATGTGGTCATTCATTCGACAAATATAAACTGAACACAGCTGCTCCCTGTCTGGTGCTGCATTGAGTGCTGGGGACACAGGGTTTGACAAAAACACAGTCACTACCCTTGTAAGGTTGGGAAGAGGATCTATCAAATGATCCCAGACGTGCGAAAGGGGATTCCGTAAAGAGCTGTAGTCCTGTCCTGGGATTTGCAGGGTGTTCGTCCTTAAAGAAGAAATGTTGGGGGCCGGGCATGGCGGCTCACACCTGTAATCCCAGCACTCTGGGAGGCCGAGGCAGGTGGATCACCTGAAGTCAGGAGTTGGAGACCAGCCCGAACAACACAGTGAAACCCCATCTCTACTAAAAATATAAAATTAGCTGGGCGTGGTGGCGCATGCCTGTAATCCCAGTACTTGGAAGGTTGAGGCTGGAGAATTGCTTAAACCCGGGAGGCGGAGGTTGCAGTGAGCAGAGAGCGTGCCACTGCACTCCAGCCTGGTGACAGAGTGAGACTCCATCTCAAAAAACCAAAGAAATGTTGGAGCTGAGACCTTGTCCAGGGTGTGGCTGGGAAGGATGGGATTGTTCCTGGCTGAAGGGATGGCCTCGGCAAAGGCAGGCGGGGGTCAGGCTGTAGGTTGAGGGCAAGATGGAGAGTGTCCTGTACGGACCAGGTCAGAGTGCTTTGTGAAAAGGGCCTGCAGCTTTTCCTTACCAGCTACTGGTGCAGTTTCACCTGAGCCTCCAGGAAGTATCCTGGGAGATGGGGGACCCTGTGGACATTGGGCTGTCACTGCCTCCTGGCTGCAGAGGTGTGGCTGGAACATCCTCTGCAAGGTAGGAGGAGGGCCTGACACCCTTGTACTTGGCCATTTGTCATATGCTCTTGAGTTCACAGCTTTGGGAGCAGTTGGAGTTGGGGCGGTTAGGGCAGGCTGCTCTCCAAGACCAAGTTCCCTGAGGACAAGCTGAGCATTCCAGGGCTGAGGCAACCGACCCCACAGCGGCCCTGGCCAGAGGTGAATGGGTGTAGCTCCCGTTTCTGCACCCCAGGCTGGGGCCTGGAAGCTCACCTCCAAGAGGGGGCTGCTGGCCTGGTCCAGTGGCCAAAGGGGGCTCCTGGTAGTACCAGGAGGCAAGGCTTAGTGGACTTTGCCCACATTGAGAAATGGGGAGTGAGGTGAGGCCACATCTGCTCCCAGGGCAGCTTGGCACCAGAGGGACCTTGAGATTATGCCCTCCACAGGCCCAGCCCCAGACTATGAGGCTGCCTTGTAGTTTCTCTTCCTTCCCTGGACTGACGAGCCAGTGTCACTCTTGGGTCACTCTAAATTCTTCAAGTGTGTTTCCCTGAAAAAATAAGGACATACTTCTTAACTAGTACAGTTCCATGATCTCACCTAACAAAATCAACTCATTTCTTAGTGTCACCTCATATCCAGGCCATTCACATTTTCCAGATCCCCCAAATGTCTTTTTTTTTTTTTTTTTTTTTTGAGACAGAATCTCACTCTGTCACCCAGGCTGGAGTGCAATGGCGGGATCTTGGCTCACTGCAACCTCTGCCTCCGGGGTTCAAGTGATTCTTCTGTCTTAGCCTCCTGAGTAGCTGGGATTATAGGCATATGCCACCATGCCTGGCTAATTTTTGTATTTTTAGTAGAGACAGGGTTACGCCATGTTGGCCAGGCTGGTCCTGAACTCCTGACCCCAGGTGATCCACTCACCTCAGCCTGCCAAAGTGCTATGATTATAGGTGTGAGCCACTGTGCCCAGCCCCCACAAATGTCTTCTTTGATAGCTAGTTTGAAACACTCTCTCCTTTCTTTCTCTTCTCACAGCTGATGTGGTGAATAAAACAGGTCAGTTGACCTGAAGATTATCCTTTTTTGGTCTGTTAAGTGTGTGTTGATCTAGAACAGGGGTTGGCAAACTTGCTTTGAAGGGTCAGATAATAAATGGTTTAGACTTTGCAGGCCACATGGTCTTTATCATAACTACTCGGAAGTAGCTTGTTTTAGTGCAAAAACAGACAACCTGTAAGCGAATGAAGTGTAGTGTTCTATTAGTAAACCTTTATTTGCAAAAAACTTCATTTGCCAGGCCCGGAGGCTCACGCTTGTAATCTCAGCACTTTGTGGGGCTGAGGTGGGTGGATCGCTTAAGCTCTGGAATTTTGAGACCAGCCTGAGCAACCCTGTCTCTACAAAAATTAGCCGGGCATGGTGGCGCATGCCTGTGGTCTCAGCTACATGAGAGGCTGGGGTGGGAGGATTGCTTGAGTCCGGGAGATCAAGGCTGCAGTGAGCTGTGATCACATACTGCACTCCAGCCTGGGTGACAGAGTGAGATCTTCTCTCTAAAAGAAAAAGAAAAAAAAAAAAAAACAACCAGGCAGCAACCCAACCATCAGCTGCATAATCAGCTGTAGTTTGCCACTTCTTTATCTAGAACAGTCTCCCTTGTTTTATTTTTCTTCTTGCCGTTTGAAAAAAAGAAACAGGTCAGTCATCCTGTAGAATGTCCTGCCTTCTGGGCTTGTCTCATTGCTTTCTCATGGAGTCATTAAATTTGTTCCACCGTCCTCTGTGTTTTTGGCAAATGAGAAGTTGAAGCTAAAGGCTGGTTTAGATCCAGGTTAAACCTTTTTGGCAGGAATCCCTTGTCAGTGATGCTTGACTTTGGGCTGCCTCACTTCAGGAGGCCTCAGTCTGACAGGCTGTCCTGCAGAGAGCAGAGAGATAGACCAGTGTGTGACTGGGAGAAGTCACACCCCTCCATTGCACACTTGTGCTATTCCCCTTAAACAGCAGGTCTTTGGCCTGGCGTGATGGCTCACACCTGTCATCCCAGCACTTTGGGAGGCCGAGGTTGGGGGATCACTTGAGGTCAGGAGTTCAAGACCAACCTGGCCAACGGTGAAACCCTGTCTCTACTAAAAATACAAAAACTAGCCAGGTGTGGTGGTACGAGCCTGTAGTCCCAGCTACTTGGGAGACTGAGGCAGAAGAATCACTTGAACCCAGGAGGTGAATGTTGCAGTGAGCCGAGATTGTGACATTGCACTCCAGCCTGGGTGACAGGAGGGAAACTCTGTCTCAAAACACACACACACACACACACACACAACACTAGGTCCTCTGTCAGTGACATTGGGAACCCGTATCTGCTTCCTGTCAACCTTCCCCTCTGGCTTAGCATCCACTGACTCTTGTTGCCTCCAGTATTTGTTCCTTTAAGGGTTGCAGAATGACTTAGCATTTGGTCATTTCTTTGTTATTTATTAGCAAGAATTCTTCCTGAAAGAAGAGCTTTCCGTCAACCATCAGAACCATTTGGTTACAAGAAAGGCCAAGAGACAGGCTGAATTCTTTCTTTAATCCCTGGCTTTCAGAGTAAAGAGGGCACTGCTACCGTCAGTGGTGACAAATGAGGGCTTTTGAGGGCTTGGGTTTGTTTGTTTTGCTTTCTCTCTTCTTTTTTAATAATCTCTGTGAATGCACTGCTTTTATGTGTTCCATCTGTTTCCATCAGTTGCACACATTATTCTTTCTGATGCTCAGATGGTCCCAGCTCGGCCCATCGGAGGCTTCCTGGGGTGCCTCTCACTGCCCCTGTGCTGAGGCTGCTCTTAGGGAGCTGAGCCAGAGGCAGGCCTGAGGCTCAGGGCAGGGTCTGAAGGCCGGTTCAGATGGGGGCACACTCCCTCCACAGACATCTGTTTTGCATATGGCCCTGACTGATCACCAGGAGGGAAAGCACTAAGGACACATTTATTTTATGTGGTCCCCTGTTCTTGCCCACCACCAAGCACACTGTTGCCTCTGACCTGCACCCAGCTGCATTGCTCATGTGACCTGAATAATGTGGCTCTAGGCCCAGCCTTTGGGGTCAGCAGCACCAGAAGTGGCCCCTAGAAAGTACCAATAAAGTGCTCCTTTCCAGGCGGCCCCTCCTGCCAGCCTCCGGGGATGCTGGGGATAGGAGTCCTGTGCTGTTGCTTTGGTACCTAGAAACTGCAACTCAGCACATGCTGGCAGGACCCTGAGTCAATGGGGTATCAGGGAAGGGTGCGGGCTCTCGATGAATATGGGCAGTGGTGGAGGGTGGGCAGAAGCCCCCATGCTAGAGAGTGTAGGCCCCACTTAGGCTGCTGAGAGCAGCAGGGATTTGAGTCCTTCCTAAAGGGAGCCCTTTTGCTCTCCCTGAGCCATGGGTCCATGGAGGGTCCTAACTCCTGCCCTGCCCACTCCCTATCCTTCAGGCTTCTACTGGTGTCCCTGGAGCATGGGAGGCTGCTGAGTGTGAGTGGTGGTGTCTGGCAGGAGCTACGTGGCAGGGAGGGCGTCCATGGCTGCAGCCAACAAGGGTAAGTGGCTTCTTGGCCTGGTGGGGCTTGCATGAGCCATTGCTGCAGGTAGGGTCTGCGCCACCTCTGTGTGTATGTGCATGTGTGAATGTGTGTGTGTGGGTGTCTGAATGTGACTGGGAACATGCCAGTGTTTGTGCCAGGTCCTGGGACTCATGCAAGCCCTAGCAGGGACCCCCGAGGAGCCCTGCTGACTCCTTAGGCTGGTCTGTGGAGGTGTGTGCTCATGTCCCTGCCATCCCACTGTGGGGGTTGGGGGAGCCAAGGGGCCTGTGATGAGCACTGAGACTGGTGATATGGGAGGGCCACCACAGGCTATGGAAGGGAACTTGGGTTTCGTTCAGAGTCCAGAAGGGAGAAGGGAGGATTTTAGGCCGGGGGATCTGGTGAGATTTGAGGGTTCGGGGGGCTCAGCAGGATTGTGGATGTGCCATGCTGGACTCCTGGGCCTCTGAGTATCCAAGAGCCTGGCTCAAAGCTGGACTAGGCCCTCCCACTAAAGACCCTGGGCAGGGCTCTTGGTGGGAGGGCCTAGGGGCCAGGGGTCAGAGAGGACTAGAGCCATGCTGTTGGCCTCCCCAGCCTGTGTGTTCATCCGGTCCAGGCCTTCAGCCCAACTCCCAGCTACCCTGCCTGTCCCATCCCTCTGCCCTTGGAGAACCAAACCCAGGTCAGAGACAGCTGAGGGCCTTGATGGTGGGCTTGGCAGAGGAAGGAAGGGAGTGTTGGGGTGGGTCTGGAAGCTTCCCTGGGTTCTCTCTTCTTGCTTGCCAGTGACTGGTGAGGGTTAGCGGCAGCCACAGCCTTGCCTAGGTGGGCTGAGTGTTTTTGATCCCCTTTGTTTCTGCCATCCCTAGGCAGGTCCCCTAGAGCCTATTCCTGTCCCTGCCCCTTCAGGTTGGGGTCATCAGGAGGGGCAGGCAGGGGCCTCATGCACTGACACAGCTCGGGGGTAGGCCCCAGGGATGGGGAGCTTGGCACTATGAAGGAGAGTACTAGGCAGGGTGTCCAGAGGACTGGGCTGAGCCCCACACTGCCCTGGCTTGGTGGGAGTCTGGAAGCCTGTCCCTTCCTGTCTCTGGCACCAGCCCGATCCTTTCCAAGCAGGGGTCCTATTAGTCAGTTCCTGAGTCTCCCCCACACCCACTCGGGGGATGCATTTTTGTGGGAGGACTGGGCAGGTCGGAGCAGGGTGGCGGCCTCAAGCCTCATGATCCCAGTGTCCACCTAGCCCTGAAAAGCACCCAGCCAGTGGGAGCTGGATGATGTCAAGGGCAGTCTTGGGGGCGAGGAGGGGATGAGTTGGAGGAGTTTCCTGGGGACAGGGAAAGCAGCAGCGCTCAGGGCCTTCTCCCACTCTTCCTAGGCAACAAGCCCAGAGTCCGGAGTATCCGCTTTGCGGCAGGCCATGATGCAGAAGGCTCCCACAGCCACGTTCACTTTGATGAGAAGCTGCATGACTCAGTGGTCATGGTCACCCAGGAGAGCGACAGCAGCTTTCTGGTCAAGGTACATACACACCTTCCCCATCATCAGCTTCTCCCTTCCCTGGCCCTGCCTGGCTTCTGGGCCTGCCTGTCCCCATTCCTCTCAGCTGGGCTTATAGGCATGTCTGTGTCTTTCCCTGTGCCTTGGTTTCCCCACTCGTCAAATGGGAGGCAGTGAGATTCCAATGAGATGAGAGCATTTAGAATGTCATCCAGATCAAGATGAGCAGAGCCATTGCTGTCAACAGCCTCACCCAGGCAATAGCAATGGAAGGCAGTGTCTCGGCTACGGTGCCGCTGGCCCAAGTTCAGATCTAGGCCAGCCATTCTGGCTCTGTGACCTTGGGGAAGGTCACCGGAATTTCTCTTCTCTTGAGTGGAGACAATCACATCCCCTAGAGTTGGCGTGAGAATGGAAGAATATATGTATGTGATACAGGTTGAAGCTAATGATGGCAATAATAAGGGCAACTTTTTTTTTTTTTAAAGATATTAAAAGGGCTACTATTGTTGGCACAAGTCACACCTGGCGATTAGGAATTAGCAAGCGCTCTGGGTAAGCACTTCTATGCAAGAAAGAAGCCTGCAGAGACCCCAGAGCCTACCATGTTGGTGACTGGGCAACTTTTTTTTAATCCTTCTTTGCCAAATCTCTGGCTGAATTAGGCTCTCTGAAGTAGTATTATTACCCCATTTTCTGCTCGGTGGAGCTGGATTCGGGAAAATGGGGACTGAGGTCTTTTGGTCAGTCAATAAATCAGGGTCCAGAGTTGAACAGGAAAGCTTTTGGGTCGGGGGAGGTCTGGCCCATGGAGATGGCTCAGAGGAAGGGTCTGCTGTGCTGCTAAAAAGGAGCCCAGGTTTAGCCTGGCCAACATGTAGAAACACCATCGCTACTAAAAATGCAGAAATTAGCTGGGCGTGGTGGCACACACCTGTAGTCCCAGCTACTTGGGAGGATGAGGCAGGAGAATTGCTTGAACCCAGGAGGCTGAGACTGCAGTGAGCTGAGATTGTGCCACTGTACTCCAGCCTGGGCAACAGAAAGAGACTCCATTCCAAAAAAAAAAATGGTTTGGGGGGTCCAGGTTTATTTCCATTAGTGTCCAACTCTGAAGTTCCCACTCTTAGTCCTACAGCTGACAGCTTCCCCAAGAGAATAAACAGAACAAACCAACAATTTTAAAAATAGCTCTGTCCCCTCATTGCAAAATCCACTCATGTCTTAATAGACATGAGAAAATTTGGAAGACAGAGAAAATATGAAGAAATTTAAAAGTACCCACACTCATTTTATCCCAAAATAACCATGGTTAATATTCTGATGTGTGTTATTCCAGCTTTTTTTTTTTTTTTTTTTTTTTTTTAAAGATTTTTGCTTTGTTGCCAGGCTGGAATACAGTGGCACGATCTCAGCTCACTGCAACCTCTGACTCCTGGGTTCCAGTGATTCTCCTGCCTCAGCCTCCCAAGTAGCTGGGATTACAGGCACATGCCACATGCCACCACGCCCAGCTAATTTTTTGTATGTTTAGTAGAGATGGGGTTTTGCCATGTTGGCCAGCATGGTCTCAATCTCTTGACCTCGTGATCCACTCGCCTTGGCCTCCCAAAGTACTGGGATTACAGGTGTGAGCCACCATGCCTGGCCTATTCCAGCTTTTAAAAATTTTATTTATTTACTTATTTTTTCTGAAAACACTATGGTGACGGATCCAGCTTATTTTAAAAGGCTTTGTTTCCAAAAACAAAAGCTAGCATCACAGTGTCCACATGGTTTTTGCTTGCTTCTGTTGTGAACTGTCTCCTACCTGTGTTAGTAAATAATTTTCCACAAGATTTTACAACTGCCTACTACTCCATGATATGTGTCATCATTGACTTAGCTGGCTCCCTGTTCCTGGGTGTTACGGCTGTTTTTGTTTTCATTGTTATAAATAGGGCAGTGAAGAGTTTTTTTTTTATTTTATTTACTCCACATCTCTGTTTCCCCTGGAAAATTCTCTTTTTTTTTGAGACGGAGTTTTGCTCTCGTTGCCCAGGCTAGAGTGTGCAATTGCGCGATCTCAGCTCACTGCAACCTCCGCCTCCTGGGTTCAAGTGATGTTCCTGCCTTAGCTTCCCGAGTAGCTGGGATTACAGGCATGCAACACCATATCCGGCTAATTTTGTATTTTTAGTAGAGACAGAGTTTCTCCATGTTGGTCAGGCTGGTCTTGAACTCCCGACCTCAGGTGATCCGGCCGCCTTGGCCTTCCAAAGTGCTGGGATTTACAGGCATGAGCCACTGCGCCTGGCCTCCCCTGGAAAATTCTACAAGTAGTACCCCTGGGTCACAGGATCACAGTTGGCAGGTACAGCCAGAAAGCCTTCTTGAGGGGTGTGCCCTCCACCAGCAGAGCGTGATGCGGGGCACATGGATTGAGGTTTGTCATGCAGAAATATCAACCTGGTACCAATGAATGGCTAAAACTCTGCAGCCAGTCCCAGTTGGCCCCCAGGGATAGGGTTGCCCAGCCCCAGTAACTGTGAGCAGGAGTCTGTGTGCCCATGTGAGCTGAGGGTACAGCATGTACCCTGTGCCTGCTGGCCTGGCACCCCTGCTAGCCACCCTGCTCAGCAACCACCCTGCTCAGCAACCACCCTGGCTTGTGACCCTTCATACTACTGGTGTTTCCAATAATGGCATTTGTCCTAGAGGGTGGCTGTCACCAAGCACTGTGAATGAACAGAAATTGTTTGGGTTGCGAGTATTGGCCATTGGGCACAGTCAGCCTATGAGTGAGCAGGCGGGCATCCACAGTCCAGGGCCAGCAGGGCAGCCAGGAGCCCCAGTTCAATGGCTGGTGCCAGGCCTGTGGGCCAGCTCTGGGCTGACACAGCTGGTCTACTGTTGTGTCTCTAATTTGATCCCATCCCTCATCTCACGCTGTCTGTTGCCTGGTGTCATCCTATGAGTGACTGGAGGACCAGCATCCCTGACCCTGGGCTACTGGCAGTGATGGGGACAGGTGGATGATCTGTGGGACTTTGAACCTCTCCTTGTGGGCAGTGTGCCATGCATGGCAGGAGTGGCCAAGAAGTCTAGGGAGGACTTTACCCTAGCCATACTATGTGGCCTTTGGCCATTCAGTGGCTTCCATTTTCTCATTTATGAAATGGGCCACTGAGGACTTTAGGGCCCATGAGACAGATGGCTGAGGATTTTACTGGCCAAGCTGTAGAAATGGGACCCTCAAGGGAAGGGGTCTGTGAAAGGGCTGGGGCCCCTGGGCTGGGGTGTCAATCAGCTGGACTGATAGAGGGAGTTGGGTTTCCTGTGCTCTCTGGGGAAGCAGGTGCAGGGGCCCATGGGATCATAGGTGGCACAACTGGGTGGGGCTGGGGGAAGCAGGAAGTGAAGGTGCCTCCCTCCTTTGCCTCTCCTGCTGTAGGTTGGCTTCCTGAAGATCCTGCACAGGTATGAGATTACCTTCACTCTGCCCCCCGTGCACAGGCTGAGCAAGGACATCCACGAGGCACCTATCCCCGGCCTGCACCTCAAGCTCCTCAGCATCGTGCCTGTCCCGGAAGGTGCATCCCCTCCTCCAGCAGGGCCTGGATGGGAGTGGGAGTGAGAATGTGGGGTGCTCCCTTACCCCCAACTAGGGTGGACAGGCAGCTCAGGAAGTCGAGGACATGGCACCTCTTTGTGAGCTTGCAATGTGGCAGCATGGCAGGTCCCATGCTCCAGGCCTTGCTCACTGTCCCTGAACAGAAGTCCATGAGCTTGTTCTTGCCCGTGTCTGCCCATGGCGTGACGGTTACCTCTGTGGGGCAGTAACCAAGAAGAGGGCCGCTGAGGAATTCGTTTAGTCTCCAGCCCTCGTGTCTGCCTCCCGAACCCTCGAGAAAAACCTGCTGGAGCTATACACATCTTGTGGCTAAGTCCGAGCACCCACCAGTCCCGGACCTTGGGTTTCAGGCTGCTGCTCCTATGAGGCTCACTTCAGGCCCTGCCCCACCTCCTACTCCCAGTCTGGCAGAGGCTAGGGTGTCAGTTTCGTGGAGCTCCAGCTTCGGTTTCATGTCCCCGTCACCAGCCTCCTCATGACCTTGCCCTTCAATGGATTGAGACCCCTCTGGCCTTTACCTCTTGCCATCTGATCTGTTCAAATCCTACCCCGTCCCTGCCCCCATCATTCCTCATCACCCCCTCTCCTCATCGCCCCCTCTCTCTGCCTTCCTTTTGGGAGCCTGAATTGGACCCTACTTCATTCACTCTTGGAGCCACATTGGGGTGGCCCACAGGTTGGAGGCATTTCCAGCTCACTGAAAAATGGGAAGTTTTTGAGACTTGTGTACTCCTCCTAGGGGGTGGGTCTCTGGGCTCCAGAAGGGCCATCCTGCCCCTTTCTTGGGGAAGCTCAGCATGTCTTAGTGGTGGGTAGGGGCCAGTGAGTGCCAGGGGCAGAATCGGGAGGCTGAGGAGGTGCTGACCACTTGCCCTTGTCCCTGGGCAGGTTATAGTGTCAAATGCGAGTACTCGGCACATAAAGAGGGCGTCCTCAAAGAGGAGATACTGCTAGCCTGCGAAGGTGGCACGGGCACCTGTGTGCGCGTGATGGTGCAGGCCCGCGTCATGGGTGAGAGCTTGAGGCTCCTGGTTGGAGGAGGGACCCACAAGCTGGACTGCAAGGGTTTCTGTTCTCCTCAGGGAACCAGGGCTGAAAAAGGGATACCTGCCCAGGGGTTCTCAACATCCCCAAGCTGATCCCTGAGGGAAGGGGAGGGGTCCCCTTAGTGGGCCGCGTGGGTGGGGCCCTGGGCCAGCATGGCACTAACTTACACCCCTGCCTTGCAGACCGACACCACGGCACGCCCATGCTGCTGGACGGTGTCAAGTGCGTGGGCGCTGAGCTGGAATACGACTCAGAGCACAGTGACTGGCACGGCTTTGACTGAGGCCTGAGGCCCCACCAGCCCCGGGCCCCTCAGCCTTAAACCCCGCCTTGTCCCCCCCCCCCCCCGACATGCTGCGTGATGGTGTGGCTTCCTCACCCCTCTCTGGGGTGGGTGTGGGGGTGGAGTGGCCTTGCCTACACTTCTCACCTCTGCCTTCATTTGTGCCACCACCCTGCCTCTCCTGCGTCCTCCTCTCCCACTTCCTCCTCTCCGTGTGCCTCAGTCTCCTGCCTGAAGAAATGGGTTGAGCCCGAAAGGAGGCTGTCTGAGGAAGGGAGAGGGAGGGCCTGGGGTGGGTTTCCCACTCCCCAACCCAAGCCATAGGGGCTCCAGCCAGGGTCTGGGAGAGGATGGAGCTGGCTCTGTGACGTCATGGCCCCATTACTGCTGCTGCTGCCTCGCTTCAGCCACCTCTCCTGCCCCTCCCTCATCCCCACTGCTGTCCATATGAATAGGAGGGAGGTGTAATCCCCGGCTCCCACCCCTCAGGTTTGTGTTACTTGGTTTTTAAGCGACTGGTTGGGATAGAACCCTAAAGAAATAAAATTTCCAGTGGAAACCGGAGGCCAGGTGGACTTTTGTTCTCTGGGGTTGGGGTAATGCCTACTCCTTTGGCAGATGGACCAAGGAAGGACTTGGGTAGACTCACTCTTTCAGGAGGTAGGGGCACCGCGTGGTATTATGGCACCTAGTCCCACAAGAAGTATGCACAGGTGGTGGCATTTTAGGCCAGCAGCTGGCTGCCAAGACAATTAGTTTGAATGAGGAGGGACCTCCTGCGCAGGCTAGAGAGGTCTCGAAGTGTTGTTTGGGAGGCTTGATGGGGAGACAGCAGCGCTCCCTTCTGGTCAGTTAGGGAACTGACCATGCATAGGGTGCACAGCTGAAAGCTTTCCTTGTCTCTCTAGCACCCCGATCCCTACACTTCCCACTATTAGGGTCTCCACGCCATATCAGCAGGCGGTGGCTTCCCCTTGAGCATAAATGTTTTATTGTCACCTTAGGGCTCTCAGGCAGGTGAGGCTGTTGCATGTCACAGTCGGAGGGAAGGGCCTAACGTTTCACACTTTGGAAAACTGAGGCCCATGGGTGGTCAGAGAATGTCCTAAAGGCACACTGAGTCAATAGCAGAGCTGGGACCACCCCTCATTCTCCCTCTGGCCTCCCCATCCACCCTCAAGCTGTCCTTCCATGGCTGGGGTGGGGTGCAAGTGGGGTATTTCATAAGCTGCCCTTGGGATCTTCCCAGATGGGTGTTTTGTCTTGAAGGAAATGCTACCCCCACATCCCTCATAATTGCCTCCACCATAACAATGTTCCCACCTCCCCATTAGTGACCTACTGCCCTGTCTACAGTTAACAGTCATACTTAGGTGGTCAGCTCCACCCCCAGGAATGTGCTACCACACCTGTCCCTCCGGAGTCCACTTCCAGGCATTTTCCTATGACACAGGGTTCCTCTGCCTGGCCCCTGGTTCGGGCTGAGTCCATCAGTGAGTAAGCTGCAGCCACGCACAGCTTGTCCAGGCCCTGCACAACCTCCTTCCTCCTGCGCCTCCTCCTTTCGCCTGCCTTGCTCAGCCTACCCCTACTCACATCCCATCCCCACCCCCAACTCCGCCAAGTTCAGGCCAGGACTCCATCTTGTTGCGTTCTTCCTTCGGGGTCACATGCCCCTTGCCGGGCTGCGCGCTCCGTCTGGCAAACTTCTTCTCAGTCACCCTTACCCATTCAGTCCCTGGCGGGTTCCTTAAGCCTTGTGGTCAGCTGATCAGGGCCTAATCCCAAAGCCAGTCTCTGGGTGTGTCCCCAACCACCCACCCATGACCTCATCTCCCCGGGCGGGGGGGGGGGGAAGAGGCGTAGACACCAGAACCATCATTTTCCCCGCCCCGCCCCACCCTGCTCCGCGGGGCCCTGGACCGAAAGAGGGCGGGGCCGGGCCGAGGGCTCTGGCACCGCGCCGGCGTGCCCTCAGTTGGAAAGAAAGTCGATGGAGGCGCGCACGGAGCGATTGGTGCTGACGTCGACGGCGATGACCTTAATTTCGGTGTCGCCAAACTGCATGGCGGCGCGGATCTCGCGGCGGCCCGGAGGCGCGCCGGTAGTGTCTTGGCCGCCGTCGGCTGGCTCAAGCTCCAGGCTGAGCGCGCCGCACTTGCGCACGCCGGGGTCGGTGATGAAGCGCGCATCCTCGGCCGCGCAGCAGTACAGGTTGATGAGCACGCGCCGCTGGCCCGGACGCGCCGGGCAGTAGCTGCGCCGCACCTCCTCGCCCAGGGCCACCGACTGCTCGGCGGCCACGAAGCGTTCGAAGACGTCGGTGCACCAGCGGCGGCCGTCGCGAACCAGCAGCTTTTCGGGCGGGTGGCGCCCAGGCACAAAGCGGTTGAGCACACCCACGCCGTAGGTGAGCGGCGAGCGGCGGACCCGCACCACGCCCGGCGCCTGCCCGAACAGCACGGCGCCTTTGAGGATGGTGAGGCCCACGTCGTGCGGGACCACGACACGCAGGCCGCGGGCGCCGAGCGCCGCCTGCACCGCGTGCTGCAGCACCGCCGACTCGGCGAAGCCGCCCACCAGGAATAGCAGCTTCACACCCTGCACCTCTGGCCGCGCTAGCAGAACCTCTGCGGGACGGGACGGGGACGGAGGAGAAGGGGAGGGGAGAGAGGGAGCTGCTGAGGCCACCACTAGGCAGCCACCGGCATCTCCCCTCCTTAGCCTGTACCTTCCTGGCAACTGGAAAGTAGCGCCATTTGAGCACTTTCTTTGAGAGCTCCCGGGAGTCCTCGAGGGCTCCGCCTCCCCAACACTCAAGCACCCCACTTCTCTCCCACCACGACATGGAGGACGAGAGATAAGGATATGCATTTACAAGTATTAAGCACCTAGACATTGTGTGCAAGACGTTGTGCTCACTCTAGATACTTCAGCTCATTTTATCCCTGTTATAATGTTTTGAGAACCCAATACGATCACCCCATTTTATAAATGAGGAAACTGAAGCACCAGAGGCTTTCTAACTTGGCAAGACTTCATGTCAACCCCCTAGCTCTTAATCACCACTACACTTCATCCCCCAGGTGTTCTAGATGATTCTAGGTCTCAGCCCAGTGTATGGATGTGTGGCGGTTTCTAGGCGCTGAGGGGGAATTTTTCCGCCTGTGTGTGTGTATGTAGGGGTGGGTGGAGCATTGAGCTCAGGTGCTCACCTATGTGCTGGATGATCCCGCTGACGGTGGGCTGAAAGAGCTCGTTCATGGCTTCACAAGACATTCGGAGCATACCCTGTGAGGACCACTTCACAAAGTTCACGCTGTTGGTGGTAAAAGGGGCACAGACTCATCGATCAATGCCCAGCTGCTTGCCCCAGTTTGGGGTCCGTGGTCCTTATTCCCTACCCCTGCCTCTAGGCAAAAATGCTTGGGCACAGACTGCACGTGGTGTCTGGAGACTGGACCTGCTGGATGTTAGCCCTTATCTCCACCCCACTCACTCGGAGGATTTGGTTGCCAGCCTGCTCCAGTTCCAGACACCAGGTCCTTGGAGGGGCCTTTCCTTTCTTTGGTGCAGAGAAGCCAAGGAGCATTGGCCGGCAGGACCCGGGGTCGGGGTGTAGAGAAGACTGGGAGGAGACAGGCGTTGCCGCCTCCCTGCCATGATTCTCTCTCTGCGGATTCCGTGGGTGGAGCCTGCCGGGCTGGAGCACTCACTCGCTTCTCCCTGCCCCCCACCCCCACATCGACACCCTGCTGGCTTGGTGTATATGTAGGATGAATCAGGCAGACCCCTACCGTTCCTTGGAGACCGGGACCCTCCCTTGCACAGGCATTCCTGGGTCTGCAAACCCTGCCTGAGACCGCGGGCCCGGTACCCACCTGCTCCTGCGCAGAGCGGTCTCCACGTTGTGGCCCCGCTGCTTGCGGTAGAAGTCAATGAAGGAGAAGGGCAGCGAGATGTTGAGCGCCCCGGCACGGTGCGGGCCAGCCGTGCGCTTGCGAGCCTCGAAGGCGATGGTCAGATCCACCCAGGCGGCCGGTCGTTGCCTTTTGAAGGTGGCGATGAAGTCCTCGCCGAAGATGCGGCACAGCAGCTGCTCGAAGGCCAGGTCCACACCCACCGCACCATAAGGGCCCCCTAGGGTGGAGCAGGGTGCGGAAGGGGCGTCAGCGCTCACCCGGCCGCCAGGGGGCGGTGGCGGGGCCACGGCCGGGGCCTCGCTGGGTAACAGGGTGCCGCCTGGCTACTCACCAGATGCCTTGTAGAGCTCTTTGAGGGTGCCATGGGGCTGCTCCAGCTGGTGCACCGTCAGGTCCACGGTGCCTCCACCGCAGTCGGCCACCACGTAGCGGTCTCCTGCGGGCACACACTCGTGGGCGGCCTCGCACCCTCAGCCCTGCTCCCCCTCCAGCCTCGCCCAGCCTCCAGCCCTGCCCTGGGGTCCCAAGGACTGTCTGCAGGGTCAGAGGAGGGATGTGAGGGACTTCAGGAGCTTGAACCTCAGACCACCACATATGGGTGCCGGGTGTGGGGGAGAAATGGTTCCAGAGGCTCTGCAACTCTACCCAAGCGTCCGCGGAGAATCCGCTGGAGGAGTAGGAGTTAGGGGCGATGCTGTGAATGGGATGAGGATGTGGGTGACTGTGAGGGGATGGCCAGGTTAGGTACAGCGGATGGAGGAAGAGACGGGCTTTGCAAACATGCCCTTCCCCCCATCAGTATATGGTGCCAAGGATAACTCCCCGTGCCCCTCTTCCCCTACCTGCTTGCATCTCTGCCCACAGCTCTCCTACACCCGACTCCACCAGGAACGTGCGGCTGTGGCGGGACCTTCGCAGCTGCTCCCGAGCTGGGGATCAGGAGACAGCAAGGAGTGAGATTGGAAGGAGGTGGTCCAGCTATGGCGTTTAACTCCCATCCTGCCCAGACACTCCAAGGGCACTGGGAGCAGCCAGTGTTCCTGAAACTCCAACCTGTACCTGACTGGGAGAGGGCAGTCCTGAACCTGAAGTCCCACCCTGTATCAACAGCTGGGGGAAAGTATTTATGGACACAGGGCCTTCCTTTAACCCAGGAGGTCTCGGGTCATGGCAAAATCAGGGTTAGAGGGGTTTGGAGGAGCAGAGGCAGGGTAGGTCTATGGAATCTAAGAGAGGACTCAGGACTTAGGGCTTCTCCCTGCCCTCAGAGGTGGCATTTGGGAGGATGACCATAGCTGTCCTTGGCCTGGGTGCTGGGTCCTGGCAACAGGAGCTTAGGGTTGATGTGTGTCAGGGAAGATGAAGGGGGTGATGGGGACAGCTGATGCAGTGGGCTGACTTCCTGGTTTGTCAGTACTTGAGCAATTTCCTCCAGGTGTAGGCTGTATCTCCCCCCACCCTTACTCTCAGGGCTGGGTGGAGTCCTGCCCTCCTCAGACTTTGCTTCCCTAGGGCAAGGTGACATCTCCATCCTGAGATTGGGCTCCCCCAGGTGGGGCATGGCCCACCCTGAGACGAAGTTCCCCTTGGACAGGGCTGTACCTTCCTCCCTCAGACCGGCTCCACCAGGCATGGACTCCT